AAGGGTTCTGGGGGAAGGAGCTGCAGACTCACAGCATCCTAGAATCCTAGAGCTGGCAGAGCCCTCAGGGGTCATCAAGTCCAGCCCCCTGCTCTAGGCAGGACCAATCCCAACTAAATCAACCCGGCCAGGGCTTTGTCCAGCCGAGACTTAAACACCTCTAGGGATGGAGACTCCCCCCTCCCCAGGGAACCCAGCCCAGCGCTTCCCACCCGCCTAGTGAAATAGTTTTTCCTAATCTCCAACCTAGACCTCCCCCACTGCAACTTGAGCCCATTGCTCCTGGGTCTGCATCCCTCACTACTGAGAACAGCCTCTCTCCAGCCTCCTCTGGGAACTGGAGGCTGCTCTCAAATCCCCCCTCGCTCTTCTCTTCTGCAGACTGAACAAACCCAAATCCCTCAGCCTCTCCTCGTAGCTCATGCACTCCAGCCCCCTCGGCATTTTGGTCGCCCTCCACTGGACCCTCTCCAATGTGTCCACAGCCTTTCTATAGTGGGGGCCCAGACCTGGATGCAATACTCGACGTGGCCTCCCCAAAGCCGAATAAAGGGGAATAATGACTTCTCTGCAATGCTCCTCCTAATGCTCCCCAATATGCCATTAGCCTGCTTGGCTACAAGGGCGCCCTGGTGACTCATTGTGACGTAGTGGGGGTACTGTCTGTCTTGTAACCCAGCGCTCTCTCTGGCTGTGGTTTGATTCCGGATGATTCACTCCGCACATGGATTGGCCCAGACACCCAGTCCCAGCCTGAGCAGATAAGGCAGGGAGAGACAAAGGAAGGGAGGTGGCTGGGGGGGAGCGGGGGGCTGAGTCAGTCTGGGGCTGAGGAAAGCGGTGCAGGGTGGGGGGCCCCCGACGCGCCGTCACACTCATATCCAGCGTCTCATCCTCTGTGATCCCCAGGCCCTTTTCTGCCGAACTGCTACTCAGCCATTCGGTCCCCAGCCTGGAGCCGTGCTTGGGATTCTTCCAGGCCATGACGGCTCAGAGCAGCACCACGACATGCCAGTCCGAGCTGGCCCCTTGCCCTGGGTGGGTGCCCGCATGGGGCCTCTGCCCCAGAGCCGTGGCTGGCTGCATGCATGTGCACCCGTGGCCTCTGATACTCCCCAACCCGCCCTCCGGCCCCACAGCAATGCTCCAGAGCCCAGGCGGGGCGGCGCCAGGCTCACGTCCACCGCTCACCTGTGGGCATATTTCGCCAGCTTCTCCTCCTCCCAGGCCGTGTTCCCGCCCCCGAAACTTTCCCGCGCCGTGCGCTCCAGGCCCTGGGCAAGGCAAGGTCACAGCGAGAGGCCGGGCAACCC